GCATTGTATTGTATTCAATGTCACCGAAGTCAGACGCTGGGTGGGTAGTTCAACCCTGGAAAGTCATTTCATGTATGAAGTGAAGGCAGACGGACTTCACGACTTGCTTATCACCACCAGAGAGGCTCTGGTTCAATTCTGGCTGGCAAGGCCCATCGGGCAATGATTTCTTGTTGTCCGTCCCTGGGATCGGTCTTGTTAAGATCATGCACAAAGGGTAGGACTGATTCTGAGGGGCTTGGCTTCAGCTCATGCACTGCGCCCCTTACCCGAGTATGTGCCCTTAATTTCAGATTGGTGTCCAAAGAAAGTCCGAAGGCGTGGGAAACTTCAGAAGGACTTTCCGGATGGGTGCAAGTAACTTCCGGATGAGTATGGGAAAGTTCTGGAGGAACTTCCGGAAATTACAATGAGGTTTCGTCCTGACATGAATATGTATAATGGCTACTTGGGACTTATCCTGAGTAGAAGTAAACAGAGGAAAGGCTGCAAGGACAAAGTCCGAAGCAGAATAGGTCCAGAGGACTGCAGGAAAGATCCAGATGAACTTCCGGAAACTACAGAGGATCGGATGAGGGGATGAGTGGAGTATTGGATAAGTAGAGCTCCGGCCTAGGGAGAAACTCCCTAGGCCTGAGATAGATAACAACTAAGTTGGAAGACTAGAACTGATATGAGGACTAATATGATATTCAGACTGAGGAACTACAGGACATATACAAGAGTTTATATACTAAGTGACTATCGGAAAGATCAATAAGCAAAGGTCCAAGGCTATGTACGAAGCATAAGCAAAGTTGTCAAATGCGAGTCGGAAATGAAGCATAGGTTAATGGATCAGTAAGCATACTGGTAGTAAGTATAACCGAGATACCAGGAACAAGGAAATACCGAATAGGCTGTGTTAACATTATATGCACATGAAATGAATTAAGTAGCTTATCGTATATCGGATCGGACTGGACCGGATCGGATATGGTCCGGATGAGATGTGTGGATGTATGGGATATGACATTAGGGCAATAGGACAAAGGATGAATGAAGCAGGCTAGCTGTGGAGGTACGGAGGTCTGATGTACAGAGGTAAAGGGATCTGGATGTGGATGTGTGGATGTGGATGTGCAGAGGTGCAGGGATCCGGATGGGTAGAGGACTGGAGACATGGATAAGGCGTCCGAAGGTCCGGATGAGGCATGGGAATATTATCGGATGTAGGTCCGGAATACGGGATATGACAGGTCTCTTCTGGAGCTACCTGACTTGATGGAATTTCCAGAACCATCTAACTATGGAGATGATACAGAGAGCGAGGAAGATTATGAGATGCCACCTTCTTCTCCATCAGATGACTGGTCTGGTGGTTCTCCTGTAAAACAGGGGATGTCTGACCTAGAATTACAAGCATTGTGGTTGCTCATTCGCCTTGGGCAGCCTTTCAGCGCATTTTTGCTAGCGCAGCAGCACAGTGGAGAATACAAGAGGATTGCGACAGATGATGATATCATTGGACAAATTCAGGATGTGGTTTCTGTTGGAGACTCGATGGACATCAGGACCATAGAGATATTGTAGTTGTATGTTTTTGTTTCAAAGCTTATGGACCTCTGACCATTTCACATCTGTACTTTCAACATACAGCGTATGTATCAACACATGCATGTTAAATGTGGTTTTCGCCCTTAGGTAGCAGTTCGGGTACAAATTATGCTCCAAGTCCCGTCGCTTCCCTATCATTTCTTGCAACCCTTTGTTCGCCCTCACAAAATCCTTAGATGGTGGGACCAGGACAAGTTAACAGTGGTCCGCAAATTGGTATCATTACGTCTTTCGATAAGTCAACATTGTATGTCCCTTTCATTTTTTGTGATCTAAAAATCATGCATTGGCAACATAAATCACCCCATAAAGATTAGTATCAGACCAAGATAGAGTGTATAGCTATCATCCCAAAGTTCCTTTCTACTCATATCAACCCAGGCACACCTCCACTTGTTTTCGGGGAAGTGTTTGACATTCCTCGACTCAGTCAATCCATAGGGACTCACTTGCTTCAATAGTACGAAGTAAAGGATCCAGAAAGTCAGGTTGTTGATGATCTTGGTTGTCATACTATCTGGGAAACCATTTAACAGCATATCGATGATCGAGGAAGCACGACGAGGTCCCTCCTTGAACCTGCTCAAGCTCGGTGATACAGTGGCTCAAAAAAGTGTCTCAATGTTTGTAACATTTCATGTAATTGCTTTATTATGAGCCAGGGTGTGGTAATATGACTAAACTATAGGGAGGTGTCATAAAGCTATACCTCTTAGCCTCATTTTAGTTCCATATAGTGTGGGAAGCTAATGTTATGATGTGCAGATATGGCTATTTTAATTTGGTGACTCATTGAGACACTTTTTTGACTTTTAGTTTGACCAACACAATCTCAATAATTATGATACTTTATGTGACCTTCTGTTGCTCTAATCACTTCTGTCACTCTTCTAGACATGCTATCTATCAATTTTGAATATTTCTTCTTAGCACTCCTTTCTCACTCTGCTGCAACTCTGTCCTACAGCTGAAATAGCCCCTATGATGAATTTTGATAGGCTGCAAGCAATTTCTTGAATATTTTTCAGAGATATTCAATAGGGCTGATGTATAGGGACTATGCTAGACATGATAGAACATCGAGATCGTGGTATTTGAGCTGCTAGTGACTAAATTGAAAGCTTACCTCACATGAATGAAGATCTCACGTTTACCATATTCTAACTGGGCAGGCTGCTAATGCTACTCAGGCCACCTAATTCATCAATTCCATCATCTCCAGCTCTGTTTCCACTCAAACCATCAATAATACTTGCAAGGCAACAAATATTAAAGCTACAATCAAGAAGAAGAGGACTCTCCTATTCCTAGCCTATAGAAAGAGAAAGTAAACTTTAGCTTTAAAGCACCAGTACTGGACTGGAAGAGGACAATATTATAAGATCAGACCAAGATAAATATGATGAGGTCAGATGGCTGGGAATACATCTGTAAAAAGACAGGTGAACCACTAAAAGAAAAAAAATTGTGTAAACTCTTAAGTGTGGAGTAACAAACATAGAGGTATAGGGCTGTATGAGATGTAATAGAGTGTATATTCTCTGTGTGAAGTAAAGTGAAGGACCAATACCAAGTGGTACATCTCTATTTTAGATGAGAGTCTGCTAAGAAGCATACAGAAATCATAGATTAATGAGGAAGGTACTATGTTGCAATAAAATAATGATCCTAAATATATGTCTAAATTGGTCACTAGCAGCTCAAATACCACGATCTCAATGTTCTATCATGTCTAGCATAGTCCCTATACATCAGCCCTATTGAATATCTCTGAAAAATATTCAAGAAATTGCTTGCAGCCTATCAAAATTCATCATAGGGGCTATTTCAGCTGTAGGACAGAGTTGCAGCAGAGTGAGAAAGGAGTGCTAAGAAGAAATATTCAAAATTGATAGATAGCATGTCTAGAAGAGTCACATCGGGGTGAACGATATTTAAAAGAGGTTTATATGTTGTACAAAATGTGAAAACAATATTTGATATTTAAACTAACATAAAGATGGGTGCACAACTTCAAATTTTGGTGGTGTTTTGTGTGTCATCCAAAATATCAAATATTCACAACCATATTCCCACAGACAATATGTCAACAAATATAATAAATATAATCAGATTTTCCATGTCTGCTTCAATTTATCACACATGAGAATGGGAATTAGACTATTCCCCTGCATGGAGATTCATAGGCCAATACATGTGATGGACTGCAAGCATGGAAAAGATTGTCGATGTGCATGCCTGACGCACCATGAATGTACCAGCAACTGAATCAACACTTCATGTGAGTCAAGTATAGATGTCTAACTTTTGATAGTCTATATTGATCCACATGCGGCACATCACCCCTCGAGTGTAGAGGCCAAGGTGTTTACTGGCAAAGTGCATTTTGTCCATTACAGGTCAGAATATCAATTCGATGGAGTGGTGGCTATTCCTAGTGACTCTGGTATTTTTCGATGCTCTAGTTCCATTAATATTGGCAAGAGGAACCATGCCAACGCAACCTACTTGAAAGAATCAAGAATATTGTTGCCTTTCGGAGGAGAAGCCGCCCCCCACAAGGTGCATGAAGCTGGCAGTCAGTTTGCCTTTATCTGCACTAGTGACACCCGTTACATCCCTCATGCTGTCATTCTTGTCGAAGGAGGGCCATTCATAAATATTCGTGGAAACTGGTCAGAAGAAGGCATTTGTAACACAGTGATTGAACTAAGAATAGATATGCAATTGCCATTCCGGAATTTTGTAAGCTGGACTGTGCTCGTTTTACATATCTCACACTTGCATAGATCTTCGCATGCGTTTTCATAGATATGCATGTGACCATGAAAGATCTTCCAGATTCTTCTTAGGATCGTTTCCCTATCATCTTCCGTTTCCTCAGTCAAAGTTTTAGTTACCTACCAACCTCCCTCAATCTCACCAGTGTTGGTCTCATTCCCTTTCATCCCGCACTTAGAGGGTCTGTCCCTTCTGCGTCCAATCGTTGTTCTTTTCAACTTCAAATACCGGACTCAGAATGCTACGCTTCAGACTGCAGATGCTGTCTGACACAATCTGACCTTCCCCACCACAACACGGAAGCAACATAGCTTTCATCTTACTCACGGAGGCTTTAACCTTCTCACACGAATTCGTGTCTCCAAGTCTTCCTTTCTCCTCTCACTGTCTTGCAAGTATACTTGTCCAGCCTGAGTAAAATCAGTATCAAACATCATCCTCGTCTCCCACTAATGTTACCTGGTCCGTCAAACATCCACACGGTTGTTTATGCATGTAAAGCTGTAAATTAGTAATAGAGTGGTCGCACCCAGTACCAGTGATTAATGCATTTGATTTGTGCTCATCGCCATAAGTTAGGCTCAGATGAGTGCCTATCAGAAAGGCCTGCTCATCGAATACATTTATAGTATTTCTATGGAACCGACGTCCATAATGTTGTCAACGGAAGCTATGTCTTTGACTTGTGCAATGATGTTATAGTCTGATGCGATCCTCTTGTACTCTCCGTCACGCTGCTGCACGAGGAAAAATGCGCCAAAAGGCTGACCAAGGTGAACCATCATTCGTAATGCTCGTGAGTGATGTTCCTCATCTTCTACAGGCAGACCGCCGAGCAACTCGTCAGAGCCGTCTGACTGAGACCCGGGCTCGGATGAAGCCCCTATGCTGCCTTCATCATCTGCAAAGTCAAGCTGCTCGAGGAGACGATGATCCCATGGACAGATAAGAAGAAACTTTTGTCAGGTGGGTCTTTTTCGCGGGATTGAATTAGTGTGGTGATGAGCAAGTCTTGAGGCCCATTCGCTTTGACTCTATACATGAAATGAGTCTCTTGGGCTGAACCATGTGTCTGTCTGATTTCCGTGACAGGAAATGAGATGCAAGGTAGATGCAGTCTGCGGCTCGCGAAGCAAGGAGTGTTCATGCCCTTCAATAGGGCATAGAGTTTCATGGCCAAATTTACAGCCACAGTATTTTTTCGCAGTGAAGAGACTTTTGTCTGGATCTCATCTCCAGACAAAGATGACGGGATGCATGGTGGGGATGCATATGAGATAATGTCAGCAGGAAGACAACTATTGAACCCGGATGATTGTCCAACCCAATCGAGAGCAGTAATGTCGCCTGACCAAGCAACAATTTCCTGCAGGAGGTGCCCAAGCATATTTGCCTTCTTCTCGCCATAATCTACAGGTAGTCAGACATCAAAGATGCCAAACAATGAGTACGCAATATCTCCCTGGATGGTTGTAACATGTTTTGACGCCCATTGAAGTCTCTCTCGTGCATCGCTCATCCCTGGGGAGAAGTTGATGAGGGCCTGTCGATCAATACCAATCGCAACCTCCAACTCCTTCATTATTGCAGTCGACTTTTTGTGGTTGCGACAGCGATTGTTGAGATATGGGGTCCAATCCTTCTGATAAAAGATAATAACTTTGGAAGTGAGGAATTCTTGAAAGGTCCATCCTCATGTGTTCCACTCACTCCTCTCCAGAGCGCCAGATTTAGATGAAGGCAGAACATCCGAAAGATAGACAATTGTAAGCACAGAATGCTGATACCAGATGAACATAGAGTTGAGCGATTGTTGCAACTCAACATTGCTGCTCTTGTCTATACAGCATGTATCGTTCCATGCCCAGTGGTAACCCGCATCACGAGCAATTTCGCAGAACTTTCGCAACTTTACGATACCACCAGGCGAATTCAGCTTGTATACAATCTTGCCCTGGATGTCCTGCAGCAGCGGCTCTTTCTCTTTCTCTTCCCATCCCCATCTATGGGATAACATGACACAACGGAAGTAAGTTGCCACCGCTTCTATAATGTGTTCCATTCGGAGGTCTGCGCGCTTCATAGACCATGATAGCCAAAGCTCATTGTGTTCTGCGCTCATTTTGAAGGCACTTATCTGTGCTTCACGGTCACATAACAGCCCGGTGGCAGTATTGAGCAGATGAAGTGGGGCGTTCTTGAGTTGTAGATCAATAGTCGTTCGGATAACACCTTCTGATTCAGAGGGACTTGCGAAGATCTGGAGGAGGGGTTGAGCATCCGAATGATTATGTCATCGAGGGCTTACAGTGCATTTCCACATCCTGAGCACTTTGCAATTTGGTGAACATCATTCGGAAGGCCGCGATAGCTCCATCATAGCTTTGTGTGCCATGAAGTGCTGCGAGTTTCAATTGGTATCCAACATGAGACGAAGGATTCAGTTGGATGACCTTTGTATACCAAAGTCAGCATTTGATTATGAAATGTCCTGAGTAGGTAGCATCGCACCTTCTCCGCATCGAGAAGTGCTTCGGTCCATAACATTTTCCCCAACTTTGCCCTACTATGATTCGCGAAGATGGCATCAGCTGCTGAATTGAGGTCGATCACTGCCGAGTATAGGTTAATAGCACCGTCATAATCTTCTGCAGCGAAGGCAGCACATCTGATATCTGTTACGACGTGTGTCGCGTGCGGACTGGGATTGATCTAACAGCGACGATCACAACAGTGATATCTCGTGCTGAGAGTCCGAGGTCGGCTTCCACAGAAGAGCGGAAGTTGCGTACGTTCACGGAGGTGAACGATGATAGCGGGTTACAGGCAGAAGGGGTCTCAAGTCCTTCTGAAGGTGCGGATCTGATGTCAAGCAGGTAGCTTTAGCAAGACAAAGGTTTCGATGGTAAACCCAGTAGGATTAAAGTAAGGAACATCTACTTTAATCTATCGACCTTATATAAGGCTACTCTATCGTATCTAAGCTCAGCCTGAAGCTGGGTTCTAAGTGCTTATCTATCGAGTCAGAGATACCATGCATGAGGCAGGTCTTCTATCTAGGATAAGGACCGCGAGGCGTCCTTCTATCAGTACATGAGGCAACACGAGGCTTGCCTTCTATCTTGATAACATATATAGGTCTTCTAGACCTATGTCGTCATATCATGTAAGCGATCCAGATCGCTTACCTAATCCGGCATCTTCCGGACTTCTCTTCTATTTCGTCATCTATTCGTTATCTATCATCAAGGCCCAAGGGCCCGGGTATCGTATCGTATCGTTGCCGTGCGAGGTGGCAGAGGGCAGGTCGTGTAGCTGGGGGCTCACGTGGTCACTGTAACATTACCCCATTACTACGCACAAAGTCACCGGCTTTGTGTATCATCAAACGTCTTCTTCCATCGTAGCGGCGGGTAGTGCGGGAATTGCTAACGTGGATGTAGAAGGTGCAGAGGGAGTTTCAGGGACAGGGGAAAGTTCAGTGGGATGCTGAAGTTCTAGATCCGCGAGTGCCTTGTGGTTGTGCTCCCAATCTAAGAGAGCTTCGAAAAACTTCTCTTCATCGCTAAACTCTTGGAGTACGATGCGTCCGTTGAGTCGCGGGCAGTGGACCGACAGATGGTCAGGTCCTAGTTCATCGCAAATGCAACAAACATAATCTGGACATCTTCTGAACTGATGTCCGTATCCTCCGCAGCACTTGCAGAGCGTGGTGCGGGTTCGATCTATGGTAGCCGCTTTCTTTCTTCTTAGCGGGCGTACCGGGCGGGGTTCTTCTATAACGGGCTTCACTTCAACTTTCTTTATCGCGAGGTCAGTGATATCGGAGAAGTCGAGGGGGAGTAAGTGAAGTGCGAAGTTTCTGATCCGCCGTTGCAGATGAAGTATAGCAAGTTTCCTAGTTGCTTCATCTAGGTCGACACGATTGGCTACGTCTTCCAGCAGCTTCGTGGTTCGTATAATGCAGACGGTGAGGGATGTACTCGCTGCAGTTCTGGCGTCTTGGTCACCAAGGATTTCGTCGATCGCTTGGGAGTACGCGGGGGTCAGGATAGCGGCTTCGTTGAACGCGCTATTTTCTGTCATTCTGAGGACTACTCCGTAGTCAGAGTCCTTCAGTGCATTCTTGATAGAGGCGTTATCGATAGTGTTCGTCATGATGATGATGGAGGTTCGTGGGAGAGATGTTTGAGGATCGAGAGGGTTTATAACCTTCTTCCAGATCAATCCAAGCTCCGATTCATTCTAAACTTATCTTTATCGTTATCTCTTATCATCTTTATCTAGCCATGAGGCTAACTCGTGTTCGAGATTCTTCTTCGCTATCAGAGGGAAAGTGCCGTGATAGGTACTATCGTCCTTTATCTTTGTTGAAAGATCAGGTCGTCATCAGAGGGTGGTTATCATTGCCATGATGGGTTCTAGAGGGTTCCAGGGGCTTGCAGGAGTTTCCGTGGAGTTCGTCTCGTGATAGTTTAGCCTCGTTCCGGAGGTCTAGTCTTCTTTTATCTTCTGTAGAGATCTATTTCTAGATTCTTTATTAGATATCGAAGGTGCGGGGTCCGAGCGTGGGTGCCAAGGCTTGCAGGAGTTTCTTGGGGTCGTCCAGCGGGGAGGTCGTCTTCTATTACCCTTTGTTTACATACATGTCAACTCGGGTGGTCGAAGTGCAGTGATGTGAGGGGTCCCGAAGCTTGCAGGAGTTTTCCGGGGTTCGTCCTTTCATCGTCTAGTTTCAAGTCATTTCGGACAATCGTAGTTTAGAGTCTTTCCGGACTATATCTAGTTTAGGGTCATTACGGACCTATCTAGTTTTAGGTCGTTTCGGACCAACGTAGAAGTTGGTCGAGTTCGGGATCGGTGATCAGTGTTCGGGGTGGAGTAGGCGTGGAAAATAAGTAAAATAGAGGATTTCACCCCCTTACTAAGCCATTAGTCACCGACTAATCAAATCCAATCAGAAGTCTAGGCCAGGGAGCAGGCCGTCGTCTTCGAAGTCGTTTCCTTCTAAATCTACCATTCGCAGATCATGCGAAGAGGGTGCGTTGTCGTCTTCATCCTCGTCATCCTCGGAGTTTTCCATGTCAATAAATCTGACAAAACTCGGCCCGGCGTCTAGTTCTTCCTTCTTTATTTCCTTCTGACGATATGCTTCATGGATCGAAGCGATTCGTTCGATAAAAATATCCTGGGCTTCTTGTAACACAGGAGGGAGTTCGGTACCAGAAGATAGCGTTACTGCTTCTTCGGGGTTGTGCGCGGGTGTCATGGAGAGGTTGAGGGAGTTCGGCGGTTCATCGGCGGTTAAATATGCCGGTTCGGTGTCTTCCTCCATTGCGGACTCAGGACTTTCATAGAATCTGAGTTTCTTGGCGGTGGGAGGGTCTTCGATTCGGACTGCGCGTCCTTTTCCGAGAACGGATATCGGTTCTCCGGAGAATTCGAATCTCTGAGTTATTTCTGGTTCAGGGGCCAGTCTGGGTGCCTTGGATACAGGCGGTTCTTCGTTCATTATCGCACGTCCCTTCCCAAGGACTTGTGCGGGCTCTGCCGAGAATTCATATCGGGCAGGTACGGGATCTACATCCATCTTCATCGGCTGAACAGCCGGTACAATCTTTTTCGTTCGTGGCGGTTCGGGATAAATGTGGTCAGATATCAGCGCCGGTCTGGAAGTCTTCTTCTGAGTTGTCTCCGGATCAGTGGCCGGTCGTTTCTGTTCAAATCTTCTTGCTGCAAGGTCAATTCTTGGCAGCGAATCTTTCTTCGTCACAGTTTTCGTGGGCTGTGGTACGGGTTCTGAAGTTTCGACGGGGTTTCCGTCCTGCGGCTCTTCGTGGACCGGTGCAATTCGTGTCGTTCGGGCTAGTGGTACTGTGCCCGAAGAGAAGGTACGGGGAGTTGTCGGGGATGCCGATCGTTTTCTCTTCTGTGTCACCTTCTTTTCTTCTTTCAGGAAGAGGGGCGCCTTGCCGTTCTTCTTCCGATCAGAGTCTATCTCATTCTGCTTTTTTCGGGATTCTGCGGTACTTCTGAGAGTTACCGCGCCGGTTTTCCAATTGATTGCGGGGTTCTGGCTTGTGAGCCAAGGTCGTCCCAGCAGGAACTTGTCTTTTGGACCAAGTTCGGCTAGGTAAAACCTTTCGGTCATTACCCGTTCATCTATCTGGAATGTGAGGTTGCAAAACCTCTCTATCGGCTTCGTTCCGAAGCAGGATCCGTCAGCGTTCGAGAATCTTAAAGGGTTCTCTAGCTGGTGCGTCGAGATGCGGTGCTGCGTGATTGTGTCCTGGTTGACAAAGGACTCACACGCCCCAGAATCTACGATCATAGATGTCGTGATGGGGTTGCTTCTCGTTCTGGAGATTAGGGTGGCATTCACCCGTATGTCCTCCTTAGCCCCGGCTTTCTTGATAGCTCGCAGGGGTTCTTCTTCGATCATCTTTCTCCGTGAGGTTCGGGTCCGTTGCGGACAGCTCGCGGCTTTGTGTCCGATGACGTGGCACACAAAACATTTCTTCTCTCGCAAACAAAGGCGAGTCTCCTTCCCGGTCAGATGCGAGGCGGCGAAGGTGTTTCTGGTAGTTGCCATATTGGAGATGGGTTCTACAATCTTCGTGGTATCCTTTTCTTGGAGCTTTCCACAGTGACGACGGTTCTTATATTCTTGCGACTGGTCAGGCCGGTACGATCAGGGTTCTAGATCAGGGATATGAAAATCCTTTCGGGATCTAGGTTCGGGGTTCTACGAGTGTCGGTAACGTTGACAGCAAGTGCGATCAGTTATCTTGTAGCCTGTGATGGAGGCGTACAGTAAAGGGACTTTAATCCTTTGTTACGACGTGTGTCGCGTGCGGACTGGGATTGATCTAACAGCGACGATCACAACAGTGATATCTCGTGCTGAGAGTCCGAGGTCGGCTTCCACAGAAGAGCGGAAGTTGCGTACGTTCACGGAGGTGAACGATGATAGCGGGTTACAGGCAGAAGGGGTCTCAAGTCCTTCTGAAGGTGCGGATCTGATGTCAAGCAGGTAGCTTTAGCAAGACAAAGGTTTCGATGGTAAACCCAGTAGGATTAAAGTAAGGAACATCTACTTTAATCTATCGACCTTATATAAGGCTACTCTATCGTATCTAAGCTCAGCCTGAAGCTGGGTTCTAAGTGCTTATCTATCGAGTCAGAGATACCATGCATGAGGCAGGTCTTCTATCTAGGATAAGGACCGCGAGGCGTCCTTCTATCAGTACATGAGGCAACACGAGGCTTGCCTTCTATCTTGATAACATATATAGGTCTTCTAGACCTATGTCGTCATATCATGTAAGCGATCCAGATCGCTTACCTAATCCGGCATCTTCCGGACTTCTCTTCTATTTCGTCATCTATTCGTTATCTATCATCAAGGCCCAAGGGCCCGGGTATCGTATCGTATCGTTGCCGTGCGAGGTGGCAGAGGGCAGGTCGTGTAGCTGGGGGCTCACGTGGTCACTGTAACAATATCAAGGCAGAGCATGCTGCATTCTTCCTTGAAAGCTGAATGAGATGCGGGTGGGAATTATAGCCTTCACGACATGATTACCTGCAGACTTGCCATCGGACCGGTCAAGGCAACCGGCCTTCATATCATCGTCAATCTTATCCATCATGTCTTGGTATGAATTCAAGGCCTCGGCAAGCCTGCCTGCTTGACGGAGCGCAACACATCGTTTCTGGTGTGCATTTTGCCACAAGGACTTCAGGTCCCATCCGAAGAGCTGCACACAGGACGGAGTTCAATATGACAAGCATGTCCAGATGAATCATATCAACATACCACTACAAAGTCCTCGCATACCGGATGAATAGTCGATGCAGATGAGAGAGCGCTAGACTTGACAGCAGCAGTGAAGTGGTCAGCAGCGTGGTTGTGACGGGCATCATTCATGGCATTGATACCGAGTTGAACACACAGATATGCCTGATATGTGCAGTTCAGCGAGATCAGCATTAGCGCACAAATAAGAGGTTGATTAGCTCACCTCCACGATGCTACACATGAGTGTGTCATGATTCGGACACACTGCAGCAAGCTCTCGCACAAATATGACTGATTCCTCGGTTTTGTCCTCATAGAAAATAGCGATAGCCTGAAAACAACAAGTTGAAATATAGATTGTGTGAGCGAAAAATTAATGTTGCCTTGATCAAGAGAAGCATAATCTTTGAATCTTCGTTCACGAACATGGACGCGAAGTCAAATGCTGTTTTCACGTCCCAGATGTGGCCTTTTCCATATAGGGCAATGCCCTTGGAGATATATCCTGTCAATGAGGGTCGAATGCTAATGGACTATGTTACGCAGGAAGGTTGGCCTTTCGTAAGGGGTCAATGATATGTCAGTCCATCTCACCTTGTTTGCATCCTGGAGCGCATGGTCCCAGTCGCGTTTTTGTGCCATCACAAATGAGCGATTGGCATATGAGATGTAGTTGATGACATTGGTGTTGATCTCTTGTGTAAACAGTTGTTCAGCGGTAGACAGATCCCCCGCGATGCATGCATTGTGGGCAGTCATATTGATGGAAAGGATCTGGGGCATGAAGAATGCTCGAATTGTGTTGGCAGAGTCAAAGATGAAAACGTGCCTTGTAACCAGGAACTTGACACTTGAATAGAATTGAGTGTTAACGTAGAAGACAACGAAGGTGGAATTCAATGCTGACTTACGTCATTTGTTGCCTTATTATCTGGAGGGTCCTTTGGCAAATCAATGTTGCATGAGTTGAGACGACGAATGGACAGACAATGAACCGGAGAGTAGCCAAACAAAAACAGAGAGAGCAAAATCAAGAATAACAAAATAGCCTCATTTATGTAAGAAGCACCTTCCTCTTGCAAAGCATTGGGGTCTACTGCCCACTTTATGACTGGATTATTATCATTGTGATAACTTCCACTGAAGATGTATTTGCCGTCCATGGAGAAAGTGAGGGATGCTGATGATTGCTGGAAGATGGCAACGTGTTGTCGATCTGACAGCCACCAGAGATGGGTGTCATCAGATGCGCCAGAAGCAATGAATGTGCTATTAGGATCAACGACGAGAGCCATGAGATAGTCAGTGTGGCCAATTGTCCAGGGATCATGGACCCGCTGCCAGGTTGATGTATCCCATT